GTTTTCCATTCTTTCCTGATCCGTGCGATTCCAGAAGACCTGAGCCCAGCATTGCCAGGGCTGCAATTCCACCCCGGCCCTGGGAATTGTGGTGTTTTAAGGTGTTTGTTTGGTTGTTTTTCCTTCAGGCTTTAGCTGTGGGAGTGACTTTCAACTTTCATGTAAAAATTATCCATGTAATTATGATTATACATAATTAGAACGATATTTATAGTTATTCCTTCATGTTTTCTTGTAATCATAAGATCTGGCAATTTGGGGGAGAGGGGAAACAACCCAGCTGTAGGTGAATGTAAAATAGGCTGGAGGGGGGGAAAGGCCATAGGGGATGCGTCCCCTGTGTGTCAGGCACAGAGAGGAGCTGGTGTCCCCAGGAGGGATCCCACAGCCCTGCATGGGCTGGGTTTGCTGCTTTGTCCATGCTTATGGCAACATGCAGAGGTTCCCATTGCTGCAGCCGCAGCACTTTACCCCAGCAGTGCCAAGGCCACCACTAACCCATGCGTGTGAGCACTTGCAGGGACGGTGGCTTCAACCCTGCCCTGGGCAGCCTCTTCCAATGCCTGAGCACCCTCTGGGGCAGGAATTGTTCCTCAGCTCCATCTAAACCTGCCCTGGGGCAGCTTGAGGCTGTTTCCTCTTGTCCCATCCCTTGTTCCTTGGGAGCAGAGGCCAACCCCACTCACTACAACCTCACTGTAAGGTGTGTGCTGTTATCTAAACACCTTGAGGCTTAGAGTGATGCTTTATGGGGGCTTCAGCAAGGGAACAAGCGTGGCCAGTTCTGACTCACAGAGGTGTTTCTTGGTGCTGGAATACGTGGCCAGCAGCAGGCACCTTCCCAGGCAGCAAGGAGCTGAGAGCCTCCGAGCTTCAACAGAGCAGAAGTGACACAGAGCTCCTGCAGGGACAGGAGCTTGCCATCAGCCTTGTTAACATGGAGCTGGCTCTGCCAGCCCAGGCAAGCTGTGTCCAGCTCTTCCTGCTTGTCCCTGTGGTGATGCCTCCCTTTATATGTTTCCACGTGCAGAACTGCATGGAGGCACCACACAAACAATACTGATGCACGAGGCAAGGGCGCTGGAGCAGAGGGAGGCCACAGGGTGGTTTTGGGTGCTCAGGAAAGCTGCTTGTTCATAAACAGGTGAAGATTTAGAATCACAGAATGGGTTGGGTTGGAAAGGACCTGAAGGTCATCCAGTTCCAACCCTCACCCAAGGCTCTGTCCAACCTGGCCTTGAGCCCTGCAGGGATGGGGCAGCCACAGCTTCTCTGGGCACCCTGTGCCAGCACCTCAGCACCCTCATAGGGAAGAGCTTCTGCCTTATCTCCAACCTGAACTCCCCCTGTTCCAGTCTGAACCCATCACCCCTTGTCCTATCACTCCAGTCCCTGGTGCAGGTCCCTCTCCAGCATCCTTGTAGCCCCCTTCAGACACTGGAAGCTGCTCTGAGGTCTCCACACAGCTTCTCTTCTCCAGCCCCAATGTTCTCAGCCTGGCTCCTATGGGAGCTGCTCCAGCCCCTGAGCATCCTCATGGCTTCCTCTGGCCTTGCTCCAACAGCTCCATGTCCTTACATTGAGGACACCAGAGCTGCACCAGTGCTGCAAGTGGGGTCTTAGCAGAGCAGAACAGAGGGGCAGGATCCCCTCCTTCAGCCCATTCAGTTTACCCAGTGAAAGGGGTGACTTCACATTAACAGGGGCATCACACCAGGTTCTAAAGAGCCAGTGAAGTGTTTTGGAGTCGGGCAGTGGCAGAGCACTAAAGACACCAATGGGTGAGCTTCCTAGGAGATGTAAGGCCCTGTGTTATAGCAGGAGGGTTCCTGTTGCCAGGCAATAACTATGGTGAGGTACCAACCTTTGGAACCCAAGGCTCAAGCTGCTGGTGCCTTTCTGAAGAGCCTTCCGAAGAGCTGCGTCATTATATGGAGCTTTCCAGCCCGAGTGACACAGGCAGCAGGACTACATAAAGCAATAAAACCTCCTGGGAGATAAGCACCTCGTGGAGCAGGGCTCATCAGGCTGTCAGCACATGGGGCCTGCGGTTGGGAGGTTCCCTCTGGAGTCACAGGAATTAGGGATGAGCTGGGAATGTTTCGTGTTGAGGTGATGGAGATCTGGGAAGGGCTTGCTGCGAGCACAGCATAATGGGGTTGTAGGGCTGCAGGTGGTGGTGGAAGTGCTGCTTTAGGGTGCTGTTAGCAAGAGCAACAGCTTGAGAGTGTCCTTCTGACAGCCCTGTGGTGACACCCCCATCGGTGCTATCGCGATACCCCCGTCGTGAGCCCACCGCAGCCCTGTGCAGTGCTGGGGCACTCAGTAATTGATGACTCAGCGCCGAAACACTTGGGAGCAGCAATCGCAAACCGGAGCTGTGCTGTGCAAACACCAGAGCCAGGGGCACTCCCTGCTCCAGGAGGCTTCCAGTCCAAACACTGCTCTCGAAAGACACAGCAAGGGGTAGCCGTGGGGTAGGGACAGAAGATGGGGAAGCAGCGGGTTGTCGCTGCTCAGCGTGTTCTTAACACGTGGGTTTGCTCGCCTGCGAAGGCTCCTTCCTCTCCCATTTGGACAGGATTCCCTGCCTACATCCCCCTGCGCTTTCTGGGCTGGAACTGAGACCTTGCTTTGTTTTCCCAAGGGTTTAGGGAGGGATTTGGCCATCTGTGACTCTTTTTCAGTGGCTTTGTGAGCATCGGTGCACAGTGATGGGCTGTTTGGGGTGTGCAGGGACCGGGCTGGCTTGTTGTGGCACCAAACACAACCGTCCCGTCACCAACAGTGTCAAAGCATTCACTTCCCCAAGAGGGTGTTTCAGCAGCCACCAAACCTGAATCCCCAGAGGTCACTTCAATGGGCTTGGAAGCATTTACCAGCCTGTTGGGTTGTGAAACTGTGCAGTGTCACCATGACACCCAGCAACACAAGCAAAACTGCTCGCGACAGCTCGGCACTGCCGGATCCCGCTCTGACTTAACCTGCCTTGAAACCGGATTTCAGCGGGGAATGTTCCCTCTGTGGGATGGGTGCGGGGGATCTGGGTTAGCTGTGATATTGGGAGTGGGGAGTGCATAGCAGCGAGGTGAATGAGGCCCTCCTGAGTCTCTCCTTCAGCTTTGAATGGGAGATGGGCTCATCCTTACCTAAAATCAGTGGTGCTGCACGTGGTGGTTGAGATCAGGAGGTGGATTTCCACTGAGTGCAAAGCAGAGGGGAGCTCAGTTCTGCTGCTGCTGAGCTGCTCTTCCTGCTGCAGCTGCTGAGAGCAGCTTTGCCTTGCTGATAGCGTATCTCAGTCACACTCAGTTCAACCCCTGTGTCTCAAGACAAGGCAGGGAGCTGCAGGGGAGCAGCTCTGTGAACTCAAAGGACCTGCAGCTCTGTAAAGGGAACCCCATCAGCCATTAGTAAATCTGGGTGTGTGTAACTTGGGAGCGTGCTTTACCCGCACTGGGTTATATCTGTTCTGCAGGTGGAAGCCGAGCCAGCTCCCAGGCAGGGAGCAATATTGCCTTGGATGTCTCTGGCTGGCTCAATCTCCCCCTTTCCCTCTTCAGAAGGAGAATTCCCTTTAGTAAGCGGGCTCTCCAGCCAACTCCCATCTCCCACAAGGAAGGAAGTGCATGCCTGTAACAGGCTGTGGCCAGAACGTGTAGCCAGCGCTATCTGGCTGTCCCGATGAGGGGGAGAGATGAAGGGTGACACATTCAGGCCAGACTTTGAAATGCCATGGAGGCATGCCTGATAGTCCCTTCCAGCCTTCTGCATTCGCCCATGCAGCTCATTCTTGTCTCTGCCTCTCCTGCACAGGAATTTAAGCAGAAACATGTCTCCTTTGGAGCCTGGACCAGTGTGTTGGCTGCTTCCATGGGCACGGGGCTGCCCACCTAAACCACCTTGATGTTAACTCGAACAGGAGAGAGGAAGCAAACCCAGGGCCAGCAGTGGCATCTCTGATGTGCCCTGCTGCTGGCAGAGCGGGGGGTGAGTGTGCAAGGCTGAAGCTGGCTTTGCTGTGTATTAAACGAAGCTGGACCAGGCACTAAGCTGAGGCCTCTTCCCTCTTTCCTGCTGTGTTACTGCAGGAGAGTTACAAATCAGTCCATATTCCTTCTCCTTTCAACCTCCGTTTAGGCAAGTGCAGAGGAATGCAGGAGCCTTGAGGACAGGGGGATTGGAGCTGTCCCGTTACAACCCTTACCAGGGGCTCCAGGGTCACATCCCCTGCGGCGGAGATGAAGGGAAGCTCCAGGTGTGTCCTGTCCCTTGCCCATCCCTTCCCTGTCCCTTGCCCATCCCTTCCCTGTCCCTTGCCCATCCCTTCCCTGTCCCTTCCCTGTCCCTTGCCCATCCCTTCCCATCCCTTCCCTGTCCCTTCCCTGTCCCTTGCCCATCCCTTCCCTGTCCCTTCCCTGTCCCTTGCCCGTCCCTTCCCTGTCCCTTGCCCATCCCTTCCCTGTCCCTTCCCTGTCCCTTGCCCATCCCTTCCCTGTCCCTTCCCCGTCCCTTCTCTGTCCTTTACCTGTCCCTTGCCCATCCCTTCCCTGTCCCTTCCCTGTCCCTTCCCCGTCCCTTCCCTGTCCCTTCCCCGTCCCTTCCCCGTCCCTTCCCTGTCCCTTCCCTATCCCTTCCCTGTCCCTTCCCTGTCCCTTCTCTGTCCTTTACTTGTCCCTTGCCCATCCCTTCCCCGTCCCTTCCCTGTCCCTTGCCCATCCCTTCCCTGTCCCTTCCCCGTCCCTTCCCTGCCCATCCCTGTCCCTTCCCTGTCCCTTGCCCATCCCTTCCCTGTCCCTTGCCCATCCCTTCCCTGTCCCTTCCCTGTCCCTTGCCTGTCCCTTCCCTGTCCCTTCCCTGTCCCTTCCCCATCCCTTCCCCGTCCCTTCCCCATCCCTTCCCTGTCCCTTCCCTGTCCCTTGCCCATCCCTTGCCCGTCCCTTCCCTCCTCTCTCCCCGCAGGCAGGGGCTGGGCGCTGCCGGGCACTCCCAGCTCCCCGCAGTAAAACGATTCCTCTCCTGCCCTCGGGCCAAGCCCCGCTCTCCTAACGGATAAAAGGGGAGGCGGCCGCCGCGCCGCTCACTCTCTCCCTGCGCTCCAGCTCCGCTTCCCTGAGCCCCGAGGCCTTGGGTACCGCCGGCCCCCTCGGAGCAGCCATGTCCCGCTCTGTGAGCTTCAGCTCCCGCTCTGCCGCCGGCCCTGGCATCAGCCACGTGCGGGTCAGCACCGTCTCCTCCACCCGCGGGCTCGGAGGCGGCTCCGGCTTCAGCCGGGCTGGGGGCTTCGGCAGCTCCAGCCTCTACAGCCTGGGCTCCGGCAGCAAGCGGGTGTCCCTCGGGGGGGGCAGCTCCTACAGCGTTCGCTCTGGCTACGGCTTTGGGGGCATGGGGCTCGCTGGGGCGCCCGGCTCCGGCAGCATCCAGGAGGTCACCATCAACCAGAACCTCCTGACGCCCCTGAACCTGGAGATCGACCCCAACATCCAGCGGGTGCGCAAGGAGGAGAAGGAGCAGATCAAGACCCTCAACAACAGATTCGCCTCCTTCATCGACAAGGTGGGGTGCTGGGGAAAAATCTGGTGGGCAAATCTGGGCCAAAGCTCGCTTAAGCCAATGGGAGGGGGTTCACGGATGGGCTCAGGATCTGGTCCTCAGGAGCCCGGTGTGATTTGCCTGCTGCATGACAATAACTCCTATTAAAGCCCTCTGCAGTTACGCATGGCCTTCTGTAAAGGGTTTTGCCCTGCTTAGGCCTGCTTTATACCCCTTTTACCCGTAATGTGGATGGGAAATAACTTTTATTTAGTGTGTGTCCCCTATTCTTTAGCTGCTCTTGCCCATAATGTGGGTGGGCAATAGCTTCTTTAGTTTATTTAGCTATTGTCCATAATGTAGATGCAGGCTTTAAAGATCCAGTCTGCACCCAAGCACACCTCTGCCAAATGCAGGGAGGAGGGGGCCACCTGGAGAGGAATCCTCCCAGTAGATCAGGTCTTGATGTAAGTCAGACCTTGCTGTGTTTGCACTGCCCTGCACCCTGTGGCTTTACTCTCTTGCACTAATTGATCCTATGGCCTGTGTAAACTTCAGCTCTGGCATCCTCAACATGCAAGGAATCCAGACCTGGAGTTTGGGTGATTGCCTGAGGTCTGTGGATGGCTTCTGTCAAGTGTCGAGCAAGCAGAATCTGCTTATCTTGAGTCCATCCAAAGCCTTGAAATCATAACTGCTCCCTCCTGGTCTTTATCCCCCTCACAGTGCTCCCTATGGGCAATCTAAATTCTTCAGCTACCATCCCCAGGCTCTCCTTGCCCCGGGATCAGCTCCGAGGCAGCTCCCCCTTCCTCTTGCTTTCACAAATGACCCCTGCATCGTTTTCCAGGTCCGCTTCCTGGAGCAGCAAAACAAGATGCTGGAGACCAAATGGAGCCTCCTCCAGGACCAGAAAACCACCCGCAGTAACATTGCCCCCATGTTTGAGACGTACATCAGCAACCTGCGGCGGCAGCTCGACGGGCTCTTGAATGACAAAGGGCGTTTGGAGGGCGAGCTCAGGAACATGCAGGATCTTGTTGAGGATTTCAAGACCAAGTAATGTGTCATCTTCCCGTCTAACGGTGTAGTTGGGTCGGTGTAACGGTGTAGTTGGGTCGGTGTAACGGTGTAGTTGGGTCGGTGTAACGGTGTCGTTGGGTCGGTGTAACGGTGTGGCTGAGTTGGTGTGATGATGTAGTTGAGTTGGTGTAGTGGTGTGATTGGTGTAATGGTGTAGTTGAGTTGGTGTAATGGTGCAGTTGGGGTGTTGTAATGGTGTACTTGGTGTAATGGTGCAGTTGGGTTGGTGTAATGGTGTAGTTGGTGTAATGGTGTAGTTGGGTTGGTGTAATGGTCGTAGCTGCAGTTAGAAGCTTGCTGAGATGTCTCCAGCTTTTTTGCTTGGGGGGGGAGATTTTTCTAGCCATGAGTAAGGTGCCTGAGTGCAGGGAAGCTGCCTGGCTCCTTGCCTGGATTGCTCCTACATGATTCCAGTGGCTCCATCCCCTTAAGCTTTGCTTTGGGGTCTCCTCAGGGATGGCTTTGTCCTGGGGCTCTGTAGGAAGCCCATGGAGCTCAGCAGGTTGCAGCAGCGGCTGAGCCGCTGCTCGCTTTGTGGGCAGGTAAATGGAGCAGGGGACCTGCCACTTTGAAGCTGCTTTTCAGTCCAAACCGTGTCGCTTGGGAGGAGGCCCCTGAAGAAAGCAGCCTTTGTCCCAGTGCGGCCCAACCCAGAGAATGCCTTGAATAGAAAAGGGAAGAAAGCAAAGAGGGAGCTGGCAAACTGGATCCAGCAGGAACTGAAAGCAAACAGTGCTGGTAATCTCTGGGGTGTGCTTAGGGAAGGTCATTCCCAGCCATTCCCAAGGAGGTGCACGGCAATGGTGCTTCCTCCGACCCTGCTCCCTTGTTCCTGCTCTGCTCAGCCCCAGGTTTCATCCCTGCAAGGCAGCAGCAAGGAGCTGGTTTGCACCCAGAGGAATTGCAGCCCTCGTTTTACTTGCAGGGCACAGGAATGCGAGGGGAGAGGAGCGTTCTTATTCCTGTAATTCCTTGTTACAGGTCCATGTGAGACCAAACCCTGGTTGTGGGACGAGAAGGAAAGCAGGAATTTCCCTTCATCTGGGACTGGGGGAATAGCAAAAGGGGTTAAAACTGAAACAGGGTTTCAGGGTTTCGGTTACATCTTAGACAGAAGCTCTTCCCTATAAGAGGGTGGTAGGACATTGGCACAGGGTGCCCAGAGAAGCTGTGGCTGCCCCATCCCTGGCAGTGTTCAAGGCCAGGTTGGACACAGGGGCTTGGAGCACCCTGTAGGAACTGGCTGAGCTTTAAGGTCCCTTCCAACCCAAACCACTCTTGTGATTCTATGGATCAGGAGCCTAAGATGCTCGTGCAGCAGAGGGATGTAGCAATTGGAGTTCAGAACCTGCCTCTCCCCATTTCTATGAAGGAAATGTCATGTTCCAAGTCGAATACCCAAACCAGGACTGCACTTTCTGTGTCTGTTGCCTCTTTTTCCTAGGGCTGGTTTGCACAATGATGCTCAGTTCACATCCGGGGTAAGGGAGGAGGAGATTTATCTGCACCAGGCTCCAGGGGATGAGATTCAGTCCCTTACTCAGTAATTGCATTGCCTAAGGGTGTGGTTCAGAGCAAGCAAGGGTAGGAGCAGGCTGGATTCACTCTGCCCACGTGGCTTGGTGCAGGGCATGCCAGGGTGTGAGAGTGCCCCAGGCTTCCGGATCACCTTGGGAGTTCCTGGCATGACTTGTCACTTGGTTCGGCAGCTTAGTCAGGGCTCCCCCGGGAAATGAGGACTTCCACAAACCCTTCCCGAGCAATTCAGCCCTGTTCCCTATCCCTGCTTGTCCATTCTGCCCTGCAGGCTGTGCCTGTGCAGCATGGGCGCATCATTTCCAGGTCACCTATTACCCTGCCATAGCAATGGATGCAGCTGATGCGCCTCGGACGGCATCCGTGTGTGCCAGTGGGATGGGCAAGCTTCCAGTGCGGAGCAGGAGGGGAGGCACATGAAGGCTGTTGAAAGTGAAGTAGCTCAAGTGAAGGCAAATGCCAGCGCTCGCCGTGCAGGGGCTGTGTAAACAGAGAGCAGTGCTCTGGCTTTGGCAACAGCAATTCCCCAACAGCCCGAGAAGGTGGCTCCTGCTCTGCTCCTTGGCTGGCTTTCAGGATTCCTACAGCAGGATCCGGCTGTTTGATTCAGCAGTGGCTGGTGTAAGGCAGGCCCCAAGAGGCAGGAACAAAGCAGTGATGCTGTAAAGCCAACAGAGCATGGTTTTTATCTGCTGAGCATCTAGCTCATTACCTCTAAAGGTGATCACCTGAAGAGGGCTTGTAGCCAGCTCTAGGAGCTGGAGCAGCTTTGAAGCAGAGCCACTCTGTGCAGAATGAGGGTCACTACACTCAGCTCGTACCAGGGCCATGGCCTGTGATGGACACCTGCAAAGTGCTCTCAAGTGCCTGGAATAGGGAAGTGCACGGTGAAAGCAGCACCAGCAGCTGCTTAGACCAGCAGAGGGGAATTGGTTGAACCTGCTGGGATCCCTTCCTGCTTTTGTATTTGCTCTCTCAAGGGGTAAGGGAAGCAATTGGGAGCCTCAGGACCTACACTGCAGTCCTGCAGCCATCCACGAGTGAGGATAAGGAGCAGAAAGCTTCTTAAACACAGTGAATATTAAGGAATATGGGAAAGCAGGGGTGAGAAAGGCTTTTCACGTTAGTGGCTGTGGTGTTGTGGACCAGAATAGCTTTCAGGCTTCAATTCATCCAAACAGTACCCTGGAAATGGGGCATACATTTCTCTTGTGCAGAAGGCACACAGGAAGCCTCTGCCTCTGGGGAGGTCATAGGCTTTGATGAGGTTGCTCGCAAAGACAGAAGTGGAGGGAGATTAAAACCACTCAGGGTAACTCTTGATGTGATGCTTCCCCTTTCCCCAGGCTCTAACGTCTCACCAATGCCTTCCTTCCTGGCAGGTATGAGGATGAGATCAACAAGCGCACGGCAGCAGAGAATGAATTTGTGGTGCTCAAGAAGGTGCGTGCAGGGACGTCCCCTGGGGCTCACCATGGGTGTTTGCAGCCCTTCTCCCCCTTTTGGCCCTACATTTGCTTTGCTGTCCCTTCATCTTTTAGCTGTGCCCAGAGACCTGCAGGGGAAGAATTCGAGCTCTCCTTTCTGACTAAAGGCTGCCTCAGTAGGCACTGGAGGCTCTCTAGGAAGCTGGGAAGCAGTGCAGACCCCAGGGATGTCCTGGATTATGGCTGTATCTCTGGGACATTTCCCAAGGCTTCTCTTGACTGTCCAGACTGGCATTGGGCTTGCAAAGATAGTTCCAGGGATCTACAGAACAGAAGGGATCCTGCACATCAGCAGCGTTGAGTGCACCGGTAGATGACTTTTAGGACATGGTGGATCACTGGGCAGAGGGACATAGAGAGCCTGGGGAGCGTGGTGGGCTCCTGACTGCTTTTGCAGGCTGGGTGGACTTAGTGATGAAAGCTGCAGCAATCTCAGTGGATTCTGACTCTTGCAGGACGTGGATGCTGCCTACATGAACAAGGTGGAGCTGGAGGCCAAGGTGGATGCGCTCACGGACGAGATTAACTTCCTGAGGTCCCTCTATGAAGCAGTAAGTTCCTTTGTGCTTCAGGGGGCTGCTGCAGTGTGGCATCACCAGGGAGGGAAGAACAGTGACTGGTGGCTGAGAGAATGAATGTGCTGCTTCCAGAGATGAGAGAGGTGATGGAGACCCGGAGTGTTCCCTTCCATGAGCAAAACCAGACCTGCGAGTGGACTGCTCTGTGAGCTGTCACAGTGATTTCTCCCTAACTGGGATGTGAAATGGATTTATTGATGCTGTTAACGTGAAAACATGGGAAACCCGTGTGCTATAGCCAGGGCTGTAGTGCTGGTGTGTGCCTGTGTGTTTGTGTGCTGGGAGAGGGACAGAAAGGAAAGCTCCTTGTCCCAGACTCCTTTATCTTGCCCATTATTTGCAAGGTAAGAACTGGACACGTTGCATCCTTGGGTGGGGTGGTGGAATTTGGCCCTTCCATTGCTGTGAAGCTGATGCTCATGTTTCTTGGATTAAGCATTCCATGCTGGGCACTTATCTCAGGAATGGGATAACCCAGCCTTGCTGCCAGAATGTGGCCGATGAGTATCTTCATTTCTCTGCCGGTTACTTTGTGCTTTGCAAGGTTGATGTGATTCGGTTGGTTTCCTTCTAATTAATGACTGTTTTGATTGCATTCTTGTTAGCTGCCTCCCTTTCCCTTTTCTTCTTGGATTCTCTCTTTAACTGGCTTCCAAAAGAGAGGCCCATAAAAGCCAGTGATTGATGGTACTCTTTTTAATGCAACTGCCAGGAACTCCAAGAGCTGCAAGCCAAGATCTCTGACACCTCAGTGGTGCTGTCTATGGATAACAGCCGAAACCTGGACCTGGACAGCATCATTGCAGAGGTCAAAGCGCAGTATGAGGAGATTGCCAACAGGAGCCGGGCGGAGGCTGAGTCCTGGTACCAGAGCAAGGTGAGTTTGGGAGGCAGAAAGGCTTCTGTTAGTCCATGCATCCGCACGGCATGGCCGGGGGGGGGCTTTTAGGCACCGGAGTGCCAGCCTGACCCCTTCCTCTGCTCCCCGTGGCAGTACGAGGCCCTGCAGGTCACCGCAGGGAAGCACGGGGATGACCTGCGCAACACCAAGAACGAGATCGTGGAGATCAACCGCGTGATCCAGAGGCTGCAGGCGGAGATCGAAAACGCAAAGGCCCAGGTGAGGATGTGATGTGAGCAATAGGTGAGAGTCTGTATGTATCTATAGCTGAACTATAGGTGAGAGTCTGTGTGTATCTATAGCTGAACTATAGGTGAGAGTCTGTATGTATCTATAGGTGAACTATAGGTGAGAGTCTGTATGTATCTATAGGTGAACTATAGGTGAGAGTCTGTATGTATCTATAGCTGAACTATAGGTGAGAGTCTGTATGTATCTATAGCTGAACTATAGGTGAGAGTCTGTGTGTATCTATAGCTGAACTATAGGTGAGAGTCTGTGTATCTATAGGTGAACTGTAGGTGAGAGTCTGTGTGTATCTATAGCTGAACTATAGGTGAGAGTCTGTATGTATCTATAGCTGAACTATAGGTGAGAGTCTGTATGTATCTATAGCTGAACTATAGGTGAGAGTCTGTATGTATCTATAGCTGAACTATAGGTGAGAGTCTATGTATCTATAGGTGAACTATAAGTGAGAGTCTGTGTGTATCTATAGCTGAACTATAGGTGAGAGTCTGTGTGTATCTATAGCTGAACTATAGGTGAGAGTCTGTATGTATCTATAGGTGAACTATAGGTGAGAGTCTGTATGTATATATAGGTGAACTATAGGTGAGAGTCTGTATGTATCTATAGGTGAACTATAGGTGAGAGTCTGTATGTATCTATAGGTGAACTATAGGTGAGAGTCTGTATGTATATATAGGTGAACTATAGGTGAGAGTCTGAATATATAGGTGAACTATAGGTGAGAGTCTGTATGTATCTATAGGTGAACTATAGGTGAGAGTCTGTATGTATCTATAGGTGAACTATAGGTGAGAGTCTGTATGTATATATAGGTGAACTATAGGTGAGAGTCTGTATGTATATATAGGTGAACTATAGGTGAGAGTCTGTATGTATCTATAGCTGAACTATAGGTGAGAGTCTGTGTGTATCTATAGCTGAACTATAAGTGAGTGTATGTATATATAGCTGAACTATAGGTGAGAGTCTATGTATCTATAGCTGAACTATAGGTGAGAGTCTATGTATCTATAGCTGAACTATAGGTGAGAGTCTGTATGTATCTATAGCTGAACTATAAGTGAGTGTATGTATCTATAGCTGAACTATAGGTGAGAGTCTGTATGTATCTATAGCTGAACTATAGGTCGATCTCTATATAGCTGAACTATGGGTGAGAGTCTCCATGTATCTGAACTATAGGTGAGAGTCTCTTTATATAGAACTATAGGTGAGAGTCTGTCTATATAGCTGGACTATAGGTGAGTCTCTCAATATAGCTGAACTATAGGTGAGAGTCTGCGTGTATCTATAGCTGGACTGTAGGTGAGAGTCTCTATATAGCTGAACTATAAGTGTGAGTCTCTCTCTGTATATAACTGGACTATAGGTAGATCTCTATATAGCTGAACTATGGGTGAGAGTCTCTATGTATCTGAACAATAGGTGAGAGTCTCTGTATAGAACTATAGGTGAGTATGTATCTGAACTATAGGTGAGAGTCTCTCTTTATATAGAACTATAGGTGAGAGTCTCTATATAGCTGAACTATGGGTGAGAGTCTCTCTCTCTCTACCTAAACTATAGGTGAGGGTCTATATGTTTATAGCTGAACTCTAGGTGAGCCCACAAGCGATGCAGTAGCGCAGAGGGGAGTGATGCAGAGCCGTCTCCAAAGGGCACTGCTGCGTGTGGCCTCCCTCTTGGCCCCACACATTCCTTGGGCCTTCTCTCTTCTGGGATCCTTGTCCATGTTTGGGCACAGGAGGGAATTTTGCAGCTGTATGGGAGTTCTGTTTGCTTGAGGCAGGGCTCTTATCGCTTCATCAAAGGGCTGGTGCAAGCCAGCCCAGTGAATGGCTGAGGGCTGGAAGGTGGTGGTGAATAACCAGGGTGCACAAAGCTGGAGATAAGCCATTGTGATTCATCCATTCGTGTGTTTGTTTGGTTTCAGGGCAGGGAGGCTTCAATGCACGCTTAGGAGCCAAGAGCTGACCCGGTGCAGCTCCCTTGAATAATGGATGAGAGCATAAAGTACATGTGTTCATTGTGAGGCCTCCCTGGCAAGCACAGGGCCTTTGTGGAGGTGCAGGGGCACAGCTGAGGCTGCATTAGGGCTGCCAGCTTGATGCGGCCCCACAGGGATGCTTTTGGTCTGCATTGGTTGTTAACTGCAGGTCTGCTCTTGCCTCACATCAAAGCCTGGTGGAGACCAACTGGCACCGAACAAGCTCTTGGGGCATAATAAATAGGAGAGAAACCATGAGCTTGCATTAACCCCAAGTGTTGTGCTGTTGTGTGAGGTGTGGGTGGGCTGAGGATCCCCTGAAGAAAGTCTTCCACAGTCGTGGCCAGTGGAGAGAATAGGGTCTGCCTATGAGAAGAGCACAGCTTGGCCTGAGATGAGCTTCCTTTGCAGCTGATCTCCATCCAGTGTCCAAACCAGTGTGTAGGCATGAATTCTAAGGGATCTCAGTTGAGCAGAAGGCTCCAGGGCTGAGCAGATACGTAGGGATGTTCAGAAGTCCATGGGCAGCAGTGTCCTCCACCAAGGAGGTGAGATGCCCACTGATGCCCGCGGATGTGCCCTGCTCTGTCCCTGCAGCGTGCCAAGCTGGAGGCAGCCATCGCCGAGGCTGAGGAACGCGGGGAGCTGGCCCTCAAGGATGCCAGGGCCAAGCTGGAGGAGCTGGAGGCAGCCCTGCAGAAGGCCAAGCAGGACATGGCCCGGCAGCTCCGTGAGTACCAGGAGCTCATGAACGTCAAACTGGCCCTGGACATCGAGATCGCGACCTACAGGAAGCTGCTGGAGGGAGAGGAGAGCAGGTGAGGGTTTCACATGGAGCAGGTCCAACCCTTTGTTCCCTTTGCTTGGGACATTGTGAGGACCCAATCCCAATTTTCCCAAGGAATTCCAGAAGAGAGAACTGTGCACTTTCAACTGCGTTTTGGTCCTGAAAGTGCTTTGGGTGAAGAGCCAAACTGGGGGCAAGTCCTGGGGAGAATGTGATGCTCTTGGAGAAAACATACAAAGAAGGAAGAGGAGTTGTTCCCATCCTTTGTTCAGTGCCGTGGCAGGAAATTCCCAAGTGGCTCAAATCCCCATGGAATTAGGACAGAGCTGCTGCGCTCTTTCAGCCCCCCCTCTGCCCAGGTGATCACAGAGCTGTAACTGTAGGGCCAGAGCAAAGCACTGGATGGCACACGTATCTTGTTTGAATTATTTACAACAGCAATAACTCATTGCCATTGTCTTCACCCTCAGCACCGGGGCCCTGGGGGAGCACTGAGTAATGCAGAGTCTAACCTGGCCTCTTCCTTTCTGCCTTTGTGTTTTGTCTTCTCCAACAGGTTGGCAGGTGATGGAGTTGGCAGCGTCAACATCTGTGAGTTGGTTTTGTGCTTTATGGTAGTCACACAGAGCAGATGCAGGTGGGGACCAGCTGGGGCTGCGTGCAGGAGCCTCAGTGCCCTGCCTTAGCTTCTGCAGCCCAGTTAACCCCTTCTTAAATGGGAGCCCCCCAAGACAGACCTCGGTAATGCTGTTGCCTCCGGGGCAGACTTCAGCTCCAGCTCCTCTGTATGAAGTTGAACTTGGGGCAGTATTGGTCTTTCTTTCCTCCCATTTTTATACGTGCTAATGAGGAAATGAATTCCCTGGGTTGGAAGTTAGTGCCAAGGTGACATTAGAGGGTGTCTTTCCAGCTTGGGAAGCACTGGGTGCTCACCTTGCCTGGACTTTGGAGAGATGCTGGTGTCTTGGAGGTGCTGTCTACAGCTCTAAACCAGTGACTCTACTTCCCATCCGTTTACTTGCTGTTGGACCACATGCCCACAGCCTCTCTGGTGCACCAAGAGATGAGCTGAATGTGTTTGATATGGGCTTCTCCATGCTGCACAGGGTCCTGAGCCAGGTTGAGTGCTGGTGGTGGAGCCTGCTCAGCCCTCAGGTGCCCTTAGCACACAGAAACACGCTCCAGGCAAAAATGCAGCAGGGGAGCATTTTGTAGGGATCAGAGAGAGTTTTCCTCTCGCTGCTGCCCTTTCCTGGGGGTGCCAAACCGGGATTGAAGCTCCCTGATGCTCACGTTTGGTTTCCTTCTCTCCGTGCCGCAGCCGTGGTCAGCTCCAGCGGTGGAGGTGGCTTTGCCAGTTCCAGTGGATTGCTGGGAGGAGGACTCGGAGGAGGCCTCAGCCTGGGCTCAGGAATGGGCAGCGGAGCCCTCGGCTTCTCCTCCGGGGGTGCCACCAAGTCCTACACTGTCACCACGACCTCGTCCAGCAGGAGAAGCTTCCGGAAGTAACGCCGGGAGTGGAGAGCAGCGGTACCCGTTCCATGGGAGGGGGGGAAACCACAGACAGCAAAGTCTTTGTTGCCTTCCTAGGACAAACTGGCTGCAGAATTCCAGCAGTGGTGAAGGAACTGGAGTGAGAAACACCAGTGCCTGCCCCGGCCACGTCACCCCAGGCTTGATCCTGCACTCCTGAACTTGGTGGGAACCATTCCACGGAGAGCAGGTTCAAGCCTGTAGGGTGAAAGTCATCCGGTGAGGCAGGCGGGATAACGCTTTTGTTACTTGTGTGCTCGGTACCCCCTGCTCAGGGCTGGATTTCACCCTTTGAATGGCAAAGCAATCGTTTGAGTGGCAAGGAATTCCGCACTCGTGCTGTGGGTTTGGAAAAGACACCAGGAGATTATCTGCTTTGTAATAGGATTGGGAGCATTTCATTCCCTTGGGCTCCTCAGAACAGCTCAACCCGTGCTGAGATTGCAGCCTGGGTTGGTTTTGTTCACGTTCACCAAGAGGAGAACAGTGAAACTGCTTTGGGGTTCCCTTTTCTTTGGAAATGGCTCAGATGTGGAGCTCTGTGTGTGTGAAGCTGGTTTCTCACCGAAGGCAATGCAGGCAGATCTACTTGCAGGCTCTTTATAGCCAAGTAACTCATAAGCAAGCTCCCCACCCCATTCCCTCTCCTTAAAAGAAGCCCAAAGCTTACGGGATATGAAGTTACTTACACATTCCCCATCTCTGAGTGTCTCTTTTACCACCCTGGCTTTCAAAGCGTCTCTACTACAGGTAGGGAAGAGCGTGATTTGTTGATGCATCACTACAATAACTACTTGTTCCTGCCAAAGCATGTCTTCAGCTGAACTGTGCCAGGGCCATAGGTTCTTACTGCAGTAGGAATGATTCTTGGGTAAATAACTCACAGAAGCTGCACAGAATTGTTGCGTTTCATGCTCAGCCGTGTCCTAGCAGTGCATCTCTGGTTGCTGTTTTACACCTTTGTGGTCTGGGAGTTTGTCATGAGGCTGTTAATAAAGTTTCCCTGTTGCATGCTGCTTCCGTGCCAACCGCCTTCCTTGTCTGTGCTGCCCTGGATGCTCTGGGAAGAGCCCAGTGTTATCCCTTCCTCCTGCCTCCGGAGCCTGCTGCCCTGGAGCAGTGCCACGCTGTGGTTGGAGGTAGGATTTAGGGTTTGCTGCCTGCACAGTCTTCTGTTTCTGGGTGAATTTTACCTGCTTGCTCCCAGTCTGGGCAGTGGGGCGATGGCATTGGTTTGTTCAAGCACTTGGCTGCAGCCCAGACCCTGGTCAGGACTGAAACTGAGACCAATCCATCCCCGAGCATCATCTTCCTCTGCTGAGCAGAGGAGCTGAGTGCTGCAGGAGACCCCCTTGCCAACAGCCAGAGCTTGGAGAGGAGAGCCTGGGCCTTGCTGCATGAGGACAGCTCCTTCCTGCTCCTTTTGGGGCACTGTGGGGTGAGGAGGACTCACCCAGGGGGGTTTCTGCTTGCTCCCACCCCTCTCATAGAACCATGGTGCAGATGTGGGGCCAGCCCTGGTTGGTGTTGCTCAAAGCATCACCCCAGTGGGGCCAGGGCCAGGCAGAGGGTTTGGAGTCACTGTTGCCTCCAGGCTGGTTTGTGCATCCTCCAAGGATGCTTCACCTGCCTCTGCAGTACCCAGATCCCTTTCCTCTGATGCCCAGCACCACCCAGCCCCTTGTGCTGAGCCTGTGTGTGGTTTTACTGCACACATGGCACTAAGGTCAAGGAAGGGAGGCCTTAGGGTGCCCAGCAGAGCTCTGCTATCAGCACCCAGCACCCAGCTCACAGCTTTTGTGTTGTAGCCAAGAAATCAAACTGAAATGAATGCCCTGAAATGAAGAGCTCAAAGGCAGCGGGTGCCACTGGTTGCTGCTGTTTGCAGTAGCGAGGAGATGCAGGACAACAAGTGATGGGGAGGGCTCCATTGCTTGAATCCTTGGGGAGCAGCAGGCGTGCAGGAAGGGGCATGTGCAGACTGGGTGGCTGCAGCTTTTCCATGTTCCCAGGACAACATATGCTGGGGAAAAGGAGATTTGCACAATGTGGGAAACACCAGGGAGTGTCTTTGTGAGTCCATGAAGGTTTGAACCCATCACCCCTTTTCCCATCGCTCCAGTCCCTGATGCAGGTTCCTCTCCAGCATCCTTGTAGCTCCCTTCAGACACTGGAAGCTGCTCTGAGGTCTCCACACAGCTTCTCTTCTACAGCCCCAATGTTCTCAGCCTGGCTCCTATGGGAGCTGCTCCAGCCCCTGAGCATCCTCATGGCCTCCTCTGGACTTGCTCCAGCAGCTCCATGTCCTTACACTGAGGACACCAGAGCTGCACCCAGTGCTGTAAGTGGGGTCTCACCAAGCAGAGCAGAGGGGCAGGATCCCCTCCTTGAGCTGCTGCTCATGCTCTGTGGGTGCAGCCCAGCACGGGGTGGGTGGGAGGGGTCCTGGGCTCAAACACACACTGAAGCTGGGTCACGTTGTGAAGCCAAAGTGTCCTGACTGGGTGTAAATCGGGTGCATCCCCAGTGTTCTGCTCCCTGCGCTTCCTGCAGGTTGGATGCAGGAGAAGTGATCCAGCTTCAGAAGCAGCTTTGCAATGGGGGTGAGTTTTGCACTGGTAGAGACAGGAGACGGATGTGACCCAGAGGAGCCCACCACCCATCCCCTGCAGAGCCCTCTCCATGCAGCATCACCACTGCTGGGCTGATGCTGTCACTTGGGCTGGGTGCTGGGTGCCAGACCCTGCCTCCCAGCAGCAGTTTCCCTTGCTGGTGGCAGGATGCCACTGATGGAGAAGCAAAAAGGGATGCTGAGGTATTAAATGGTAGGAAAAGCCATTAAAGAACTCAGTACAATAATAGTGGGTTGTTTAACATGGTACAAGACAGTATTCTTTGGCCTCCCTCTTTTGCAGTGACTCAGAAGAAAAACAAACACCTGAAATGGGCACAAAGTCACACACAGACAAAGGATGCTCGTGGTGGTGCAGGGCCGGGAACGCGCCTGCTCAGGCCAGAGTGACCCAGGGAGCTGCTGTGCTCCATGGGGTTGCTGTGGGTTTGGGCTCAGGGAATTTAGGAGAAGCTGGAGGTTGCCTTGAGGGAAAAAATGGAGCCACAAAAGGCAATTGCAGAGGGCAGCTCCTCCTCGAAGGGGCAAGTCTTTGATCTGCTGGTGCCATCGCTGGGATGCGCCTCTGTTCAGGCTTTGGGGAAAGGCCAACGCATCCCAGCCCCATTTTCCCTCCTGTTATGGTTATTATGGTACTTGTTTAACTCCACTTGGTCCGTTTTTATCTAATGCTTTAAGTCAGACTTCTCTGTGTGTTTGTGGCACCGGTGCTTGCTGCTGGCCTCTGCATTTCTCTGCCCCTAGGAGCTGCCCTGGTTTCCTCTCTCCAATGAAGTGTCCCAGCTGGATGCTGTGTTCCGGCTGGACCATCCCTGCTGTTTCCTCCTGGGCTGCTTGGCAGGATGCGGTAACTGCTCCATCCACTGACCCCTGTGGCTCTGCTGTACCACCACCAAGGGAGGCAAGGTTGGATGCGTGCTATTGTCATAACAGGACTGAGCTCACTGGCAATGCTGTTGTGGCCACCGGTGTCAGAGGGCTCTGCAAAGGAGGTGAGTTCTGCTCTTCCTCGTGGGGAAACTGAGGCAGGGGAAGGTGAGGACTTGGATGCAACCAGGCCAGGGAAGAAGGCTGCAGATGCTGGGGAGCTTTCTTCGGTTCCCCAGTGTTTAAGCTGTGTTTGCTTCAGTTTCCATCAGTTTTCCTAAGGCTAAAACCCTGCTCTGAGGTTGGGGCAGATTTTCATCTGATGTTTAAAGGGAATTAAATGGCATTGAACCAGTATGGGCATGGAGGAGTATGGTGGGGAGGGGGAAAACAACTTCTATCCTGGGAAGGCTTCCAGCTGGGAAGCCTCATTGGAAGCCTGATTTCCTTGAGGAGGTTATAAAGGGCAACACCCCCTGCACTGGAGATGGGAAGAGGCTTTTCTGCTCCTTATGGGTGATGGTGGGATTTTGTGCTCTTGGACTGGCGCTGCAGCTGGGGCATGGGTATGAGGGATGGAGCATGGGCTGGTGTTGGCTCTGTTCTGCTGCGGGGCTGGTCCAGTGCAGGGTGAGAGGAAGGACAAGGGGCTGCAAAGCCACCCAGCAGCTCCTGGTACCTGGCTTTGAGGTGTTCCCAGGCAGCTTGAGGCACCCAGGGGATGGTTTTAAGAGGATTTAGCAATCGGTGATAGTAATAAAGGGTTTCAATTAGCTTTATGCAAATCCATGGAGCATCTTTGCTTAGTCAGTGCCCTCAAATGCTTGTGTTTGTTTGGTTTTCCTGGGGGAAAGTCTCTGGGATCTCCACCCTGTCCTAATGAAGATGTTTAACCAGGGAAGCACCCGTTTCTGTGCCTCACTGGCACGAGAGTGTCAGAAACAGCGTCAGGTGGAAGGGATCCTGCTCCCTGTGTGCTGTGGGTGTGAGGAAGAGGAGAGCTGTGCCTTCACCTCGGTGCTGCTCTGGAGAGAGGGTCTGACCCTCTCCTTGCAAAGCTGCTCGTGTGCATGGAGAGCAAATGTTGGGAGTTATGGACAGCCACTGAGGTGCGGTGCCTGGGTTGGGAAGGAAGAGTCCCCAGTGGATGGAGGGCTCAGCCTGTGCCCGGTTTAGACCCCTCTGAGCTTTGGCATTTGAGATCCTGGAGCAGAGACAAGACTTAGCCCCCCTTTCCCCAAGTGCCGGTGTTGAATGAAGGGAACTGAGTTGCTGTGTCAGTTTATTAGAGATGCAAGAGTAAAGCTGGAATAAAAGCCACTGACAAAATATGTAGTCATTAGAAATAAATCACTGCTTCCCCTTTTCCTTCCAACAGGGTTCATGTCTTTCTGTAGCAGTTCAATGGGCTAGGTATTGCGTGACTAGGGAAGAAGTTGATGCTGGTTCTGTGTGTTTAAGGATGGGTTTGGATCCCTTGTACAAGATCACAGAGGAGCTTTGTTTCTTAGGGACAGACACATCGATGCTCAGCCCTTTTCTTACCTGACAGCAGAGTTTAGCCCCCAGACCCTTTGATTATGATGGAATTTATGGCAACAGATGAGCCAAAGCATTGAGAACCCAGAAGAAAAAGGAAAGCTGAGGGTGAGTTTGAAAGCAGATAGTGCAGGTACATAAGCAAACTGCCTTCAAGCAGCAACAGCCCTTGAAATCTACCCTTTGGGGCACAATAATGGAACCAATGCAGTGTGTAGAGAAGCTGCAGGCCAGGCTGTTTTAGGTGAGTTCTGCTCATGCCTGGGGTGTGTGTAATGTAAAAGCCTGACTGGTGAAGCTGTTGGTCAACTAACATTGATCCAAGGTGGGATCTGTGGAAACAACTGGGATGGATAAAGCTGTAATGAAAATGCTCTTAGGTAGAAGGTACCTGCTCTCCCATTTCGTTTTAATCCTGGAATGTAGGAGTAGAAAGACCAGGACCTGCACCAAAGGCATCTTGGTTTAACTGCATAATGGGGGCAATGAGGGGGATTTTCGCCCTTCTTGCTCCTGAATTCCTTAGCAGAAAAAGCAAAACTCTTGAGCACCCAAAAGGCCTCTTTGCCCTTTAGTATCCCCATGGAACGAAACATGAGCAGTCTTGAGGAGCTGTGTGTCCCCTGGCTCTGGCCTGGCTGTTGCTGTGTGTTGGCAGAAAGGGATGTGTGCTGCTTTGTTTCCAGCATCTGCAGCTCTTTACATGTTGCTCCTGGCCGACTTGGTCATGGGCATCACCTTCATGCGGGAGCTCCTCGTGCTCTTGCTGCTCCCATCGTCGCTGCAGCTCACTGCTGGGAAAGGCAGAGCAAAGCTGGGCTTCAGCTTAGGGAATTCCCTGGAGAAAAGGCAGAAGTTGCCCAGGTTTGGTAGAAGGTGGACATTCCAACTTACAGCTGTTGATGGGGAAGCCGCCTTCTGCACAGAGCCTGGAAAGAATGGGAAAGGGTGGCACATTAGCCACCTATCTTCAAATGCAAAGCCCTTTAGCCTCGTACAGCTCATTGCAGCCTTCCAGTGTGTGAAGGGGGTTACAAGGATGTTGGAGAGGGACCTGCATCAGGGACTGGAGAGATGGGACAAGGGGTGGTGGGTTCAGACTGGAACAGGGGAAGTCAGGGCTGGAGATAAGGAAGTTCTTCCCTGTGAGGGTGCTGGGACACTGGAATGGGTTGAATGGAGAAGGTTTGGCTGCCCCATCCCTGGCAGTGTTCAAGGCCAGGTTGGACACAGGGGCTTGGAGCACCCTGCTCTAGTGGAAGGTGTCCCTTTGGAGCTGGAGGGGTTTTGAGGTCCCTTCAAGCCAAACCATTCCATGATTCTATGATCCCACCACTCACCTGCTCTCCTCTCCCTCCAGCAGCTTCCTGTAGGTGACAATCTCAACATCCAGGGCCAGCTTGACGTTCATGAGCTCCTGGTACTGGCGGAGCTGCTGGCTCAGGTCTGCCTTGGTCTGCTGCAGAGCATCCTCCAGCTCGGACAGCTTCTGCTTTGCATTCTTGATGGATGTCTCCCCACGTTGCTCAGCGTTGGCCATTGCGGCTTCCAGCTTGGTGCACTGCAAGGAGCAGGACAGGGTGAGTCTTGGCTGTCTCTTGCTACCTTCAAATGTGATGAATGTATTCTCAGGAGATGGGGTTAAAGTCTGGTTGTGGATTCAGCCCAGCAGTTCCTTCTGTTGGGGTTCAAGGGAGCTGGACTTGTAGTTTCTGTGCTCCCTTATGTTGCTTGCAGGGGAACATCTGTAACTGCATCTGCCTTCAGGTACTGCATGAGCTGGGCTTTAATGCAGCTCTGGTTGGAGCAGCAGGGTCCCAGCTCATGGGATGTGCTACAGCACCATTTAATTTAGGTGTGGGAGCAGAACAACAATTCACTCTCTGCCCTGCTGAAACAACCAGACCTGGCTCTTGGTCTCACCACATCTTGGTGCTCACCTGGTCCTTGGCGCTCTTGACTTCTCCATTCAGCCTCTGGACCTTCCGTGTCAGCTCAGCTGCCTTGGTTTTTGTCTCTCGCAGGCTGTCAGTGTTTCTGCCTGCAGTAACTCGCAGCTCCTTGAACTAGAACCACCCAAAAGATGTCCCGGAACACGCTTTGGGTTAAATCAGAGTAAATCTGGAGGGGGGATGGTGTTTCTCTGGGTTTGAAGTTGGTCTGAAGAGTGGAGCTGCACCCAAACCCTCCCTCTCCAGGTTTTCTCACCTTACTTTCACACCAGGCTTGTGCTTCTGCCCGGCTCTTGCGGGCAATGTCCTCATACCGAGCCCTCGCATCAGCAGTGACGCCACCCAGGTCCAGATCTTGGCTTTTGTTCATCTTGATGACCACTGAAGTAGCAGAGATCTGGGCCTGCAGCCGTTGGGTTTCCTGGTGGTGACATGGGGTTGAGCTGGTCAGAGATGCTGGTCCCGCTGTGCTTCCAGCCCGGCCTCAAGCAGTGTCACCCACCCTGCGCAACTCGGTCCCACTTGGTGAGGACCACGCAGAGATAAGTTGCTGTTCACCCAAGGGATGACCACTGCCCTGTGCCACCCCTCTTCCCTTGTCCTTTGGGATCAGTAGCTTCAAAATCCAGCTGGGAAATGCAAAGGATGCTGGAGTGATTGAGCGCTGCCTTACCTCTTTGTAGATCTTTCTCAGGAATTCAGCCTCTTCTTTCAGGCTTCCCACCTTGGCTTCCAGCTCTGCTTTGTGTAAGAAAACATCATCCATGTCCTAGAGACACATTGAGGATAGAATCATAGAATCATAGAATAGTTTGGGTTGGAAAGGACCTTAAGATCATCAAGTTCCAACCTCCCTGCCATGGGCAGGGACACCTCACACTAAAGCATGCCACCCAAGGCTTCATCCAACCTGGCCTTGAACACTGCCAGGGATGGAGCATTCACAACCTCCCTGGGCAACGCATTCCAGTGCCTCACCACCCTCACAGGAGAGAATTTCTTCCTTAGATCCAATTTAAACTCCCCCTGTTTCAGTTTGAACCCGTTACCCCTTGTCCTGTCACTGCAGTCCCTAATGAAGAGTCCCTCCCCAGCATCCCTATAGCCCCCTTCAGATACTGGAAGCTGCTCTGAGGTCTCCACGCAGCTTCTCTTCTCCAGGCTGAACAGCCCTAACTTTCTCAGCCTAAAAGAAGTTTGTCAGTGAGCAGACCCAGGGATACCCTTGGGCTGAGGGACTTTGAGTGCTGGTACCGTGACCGTGCGCCAAGTCCCAATTACACCGTTGCTGCTGATTTGAGTTCAAGCGAAGCCAAGCTCCAGCTCCTGCTTGTACTTGTTCTGGGTGCTGCTGTTGGGAAATAAATCACCCCAAAGACCTGAGCCTGGAGAGGAGAGTTCAAACAGCCCCTTGCTCACCTTCTTCAGGGCAATAAACTTGCTCTCGGTGCAGGGCCGCTGGCTGCATTCGTCCTTGTACCTGCGTGGGAAAACGGGAGATCTCGCTTGCATCCAGTGCAATTACACCTTTGTTTGGGTTTCTGCAGGGCTCCTCTCAAGAAGTGAAACTCCTCGTTATTTTCCTTCTTCCCTAACAGTGTTTTGGGATCTCGTTCCATTGCCCATGGGAAAGCAAACTCGTTTCAGAGAGGTTTCTGTGTCTATAAAGTTGCAGCGGAGCTGTTTTCGTTTGACCTCTGCAACAGCAAATAACTGTTGAACACTCCTAAATGTTAACGTCTTGGATTAGGAGGGAGGCAAAGAGAACCTGGAAGGGGAACATAGAATCACAGAATGGTTTGGGTTGGAAAGGAACTTACGATCATCCAGTTCCAGCCCCCTGCCATGGGCAGGGATGCCTCACCTTAGATCATGTCACCCTAGGCTCTGCCTCCTCTTCCTCCATCTCTGTAAACTGGAACCTTGTTTTATGTACCAAGATCATTTGCAGATCTCTCCACCTACCAACTAGTCCTCTGGGAACCATTTACTGCTATGAAAGGCTCAGTCTCTGACAAATCCTGAGCAACATTTCGAGCTCTGCACTCGCATTTCTCTGTTTTTTACTTACATTTTCTTGTTGGTATCCAGAAGCTGCTGGGTTGCTTTCAGGTCCGTTTCTAACTGGGCTTTGGTGCACCCCAGTGCTTCCATCTGCTTCTTCAAGTTCCCAATGTAAGCCTCTAACATGGGCGTGATGGTGTTCTTGCTGTGATTTTGACCCTGCAGAAAGCTCCACTTGGTCTCCAGCACCTTGTTCTGCTGTTCCAGGGATCGGACCTGAATCCCAGTGAGCAAAATAGGAAATGAAATGAGGATTGAGAGCTTGTGGGAGCCACTGTTTGTGCAACGGCAGTGAGATGTGTTCTTGGTGCTCGTGAATGCAGCGTTTCCTAATTGAGTGGCTTTTGTTCTGGGCCACCCTTGTGGAAAAGCACAAAACCCCAAAGTACTTCTGGAAATGAGAGGTTTGCATTAAATTGGGATGTGTGGAGAGGAATTGGGAAGGAACTGGAATGCTGATGAAACTGGGTTTAGCTTGTTCTGTAGTCAGGCCTAGAAATCAGAGCAATCCTTCCTGTTCATTGAAGCTTCCCCAGTGGCTCAAACCCACCCTGGTGCTCAACTGTCCCCCTGAAGCAAGCTGCCTTCAGCATCCAGAACGAGTTGTCTTACATGGATTCCATGCCCTTTCCATGCCAGACACCTCACTTATTGCAGACTGCAGCTGGGGAGGGGTTCTCAGCTCACCTTGTCAATGAAGGAAGCAAATTGGTTGTTGAGGGTCTTGATCTGCTCCTTCTCTTGGTTCTTCACCGTTTGCACGTTGGGATCCAGTTCCAGTCTGAGTGGCTGGAGCAGTTGCTTGTTGATAGTGATGGGTATGACAGTGCATGGTCTGGAGACTCCACCAACCCCATGGCCAAAGCCTCTGTAGCCAAACCCCATGCCAGCTGCACCAAAGCCACATCCACGTCTTAGAGGAGGACACCTTCCAACAGCCATTCTGGGCCTGGCGCATGCCGCACCATCGAGACCTCTGCTGCTGAAGTAACCCAAGCCGCAGTAGCCCATGCCACCACCCCAGCGACACCAGGCAGTGCTGAAGCTACATCGGTTCCTGGGAAGAGCTACAGAGGAAGAACCCAAGCTCCTGCCAGCACGGCCAGAGCTGATGCTGCAGGAGCAACAGAACATGGTCAGTGGTGGGAGAGAGATGGGTGCAGTGATGCGCTGGAAGCAGATTCCCTCTGACCACAGTGCAGCGCCTTCTTCCTTTTATTTGGTGGAAGCTGGGGTGAGGCTGCATGAAACTTCCACAAAATGTTTGTGATGCAAAGAATGTGAACTGCTCAGCATGCACTGCGCCGGCCAGCGGGGACAGCAGCAGCTTTACCCCAGGAAGGCTTGAAGAATGCTGGTAGGTCAGAGGGGGCATGTTTAGAGGGGTTGTGCTGGTGAATTGTGGTCATAAAAAGGGGAGCATACAACTTGTACTGGGTTGGATGAAGTGGAACTGAGGCTTGACAAAGGTAAAATGCTGTTCTATCAAAGGAAATCTTGATGCTTTGCTGGCACCTCAGCTTGCAAAGGAGAGAATGTGACTCAACCTGCTCTTTAATAAAAGCTAACAGTGATAAATGTGGGAATTAATGAACAGAATCGAGGAGGGAGGTTAGGGTTCAATGTTTTTTTTTTGGTTCTGCCTGTAAAAAGGCAACGTGTTTGAATGCCACGTCAACATCTGCTCCTCAGGGTGACTGTTCTGCAGGTTGATGGTGTTTTCCAATGCCATCCTTTGTTGTTGGGGGAATTGCTGGTTCGTTGCCATTGAAACCAATGCTTGGAACACTTCTGCAGAGGCGTCTATTGGCCAAATCCTCTGAAAAGTGGCGTCTCTTCCTCCCCTCATTGAAGACTGGGTTCCCACCTTGTTTGGGGCAGGGCCAGGCTTGGTCCTTCACCTCCTACGTTGCCCTCATTGCGGTGTCAGGGCTCGGACGCACGCGTGTGTGCATCCAGGTCTTTGGAAGCGCAGGGATGGGGCTGGTGCCGTGGTGTGGGAGGGCGGCGTGGTTTCTGTTCTCAAGGGGCAGGGTGGAAGCTTCAAACCTGTGATTTAGTTTTGTTTACTGCATTTCTTTCCCCTTCCCTATGCAGTGGTTGCAAGCCACACGAGCCATCTTTATTCATGCGCCATCTTCCAGATGGGGGAAGACCCAAGTGCCTGAGTGCATTAAAAGCTTTTGAGCCCTGCACTAGTGTTCCTCTGTGCTTTACTTATATTTTCTTGTTCTTTGTAAGGAATTTGGGTCCATAAATGCTAGGAAGTGCTTTGGAAAGTGTCACTGTCTGGGACATGGGGTCTTGGTGGGATTTGCTGCAATCACAGAGGTCATCAGGCCGACTGGGAAAGGTGGTTTGGGGTTAGTTCATTGCTATTTCTTCCTTGCGAGCACCCTGCAGGGTTGTACCAGCACTCACCTGCACTCCTTTCCACCCAGCAGCTTCCTGTAGGTTGTGATCTTGATGTCCAGGAGCATCTGATGGTCACGAGCTCCTGGTTGTCACCCAATGTCCTGCTTTGCCTTCTGCAGGGATACCTCCAGCTCAGAGGTTTGCATTTTGCATCCTTGACAGTCACTTCCTCGTGCTCCTCAGCTTCAGCAGTGGCTCCTTGCAGTCTGATCTCTGCAGGTAGGAGATTTTCATCACTGCCACTTTGGAGAATTGGGAGATCTTGACCCTGCCTCTGTATTCATGCACTGCTCTTAGTTCTATTCTCAGACTCTATAGGGAAACCTCTAACTCCAGGATGATTCTCTCTGCCAAAGCCTCTTTGCTTTGGTGTATGTGTTCTCACTGCAGGTCTCTACTGATGGCAGTTCAGTTCTAAGTCGTAATAGACCTTTTTACTCTGTGCTCTGGATACAGGCACATCTTGGAGTGGAGCAGCTGACATGTATTTCATCGAAACTGGCTTTACTGCTCCCTTGCTGTAGTGGAGGGGTTTTGGAAAGCCACAAGCTGGGAACTGCCAATGGCACATTCTTGCTCCTGAGTCATCCCTACCTGGGCTTTGGTGCTTCCATGTTCTCCAGTCTCTGAATCACCAGCTCCATCATCTCATCCTTTGTGCTCTGCAAGCTGCCGTGCTTTTGCCAGTGGCTCCTCTCAGTTCCTCATACCGAGGAGAGAGAAAACGCCATGAAAACAAATACCAGAGGGAGGAGATGAGTCAATAATTAAACCTACTCCATGATTCTGGAGCCACGGTCCCGGATCTTGCGCTCGAAGGACAAACCTTTGTGACTGGGGGTCACCAATGACTCATTTACGCAGCAGCAGCAGCTCTGTGTGTGAAGATGTTAACAGAGGATGTGTCACACGCAGCAGGGAGCTCAGGAAACAGACCCTCACAAAGCCTGTTCAACCCAAATTCGGGAATCCGAGGAAGCAGAGCCCTTAGAAAGAGGAATAACTGCATTTGTGAGTGCCCATCGTGACTCACCTTGTGGTACTCTGCATCCACCTGGCTTCTGGCAATGGTGTCATATTGAGCTTTGACATCATCGATGGTGCCATCCATGTCCAGGCTTCAGCTCTTGTCTGTTTGCACACTAATAGAGGTGTCCTCAATGGATGCTTGGGGCTGAGGGATTCCCTGGGGGCAGCAGCAGGAGTATCACTTGTCTGCACTGGAGGTGTTTTCCCTGTGGGTCTCCATGGTGTAGAGATAGGGAGATGTGGTGTGCTGCCAGTGGGGTAAATCAGAGGTGATTCTACTGAAGTTAGGGTTCAAATGATATAAAAATGGGGCATTAGAGAATCAGCTTCTCTGCATGTAACAGCAAAGCTTGATTGCCATTTGCAAGAATGCTCCTGGAGCATGAAAGTACCTTCTTGCCCCCATTGAAGGCTCCCTTTTAGTCTAATGGTGGTGCAAAATGTCCTCATAAAGCTCAAATGGGTCCTGTCTGCAAAGTCAGGCTGCAAGTTTTGGCTGCTGTTACTGGTGAGCAGTTTGGCAGACGCACTCCCTGTCTCAGATGTGCTGTGCAGCAGCTTGCTATGGCTCTGCACTGGGCATCTCTTATCAATGAAGGATGTGCATTTGTTATTGAGGGTCTTGATCTGTGCCTTTTCCTGGTGCTTCCCAGAATAAAGGCTTGGGTCCATCTCCAGCTGGAGAGGCTGGAGCTCATTGACTGTGACCTTGGCAATGGGTCCAGACCCCAGGGCTCCACTGACCCTCCAGCTGAAGCCAGATCCACTGTAGGCCAACACCATGCTTGAGGGGCTGTAGTTGTACCGTGGCTTGGTACACTGGCTGTAGTACAACTACACTGGCTTGGGCTTGCAGCCTGCAGTGACACCAAGGCTTCTGCTGGCAGAGCATCCCAGCCTGGGGTACCCCACACCACCACCTCCCCACACTGTCTTTCTTGGGGTCACAGCAGAGCCAGGGCTGAAACTCCACATGCTTCCAGCTCTGGAGCAGATAGGGTTGGATTGGCAGGATGTGGAGACTGGCTTGAAGGGGAACGGAGGCAGGGGGAAAAGCTGAAAGGATCTGGATGATCTTAAGGTCCTTTCCAACCCAAACCATCCTATGAAAGCAGGAGGCAATATGGGCATTAATGCAACCAGAAACCATCTGCAGGGAGAGTTTTCACCTCTTTCTGTCCCAGGAAAACAGGCTTTGGCTGCACAACCAGCCCCAAAACTGTTTTCTAAGGATGTTTATGAATGTAGGTTGGTTGGTAATACCTTGCTAGCCACTGAACAGTGATCTGAGCTGCTCTTAAACACACACCTATTGAGTTATGGGCTGCATCTGGGAGGGAATCCCTGGCCCCATAAAAGCTGCATTTGCAAACCTCCCTTTTTTATAGGAAGCATGAAAGAGAGAAGCAGAATCAGTCTTTTGATGTCTGTGGGGCACTGGGAGTGGGGGAAGGAGCGTTGCTTTGTTTTACATGTGGGAAAAGAAGAATCCGAGTTAAACTCTTGGGAGTATTCTAGGGATCCAAAGACTGGGGCTGGTTTGGGTTGACATGAGTTTGGCCTTTAGCCAGACTCGCTCCTTTTGTCAGCAGAATAATTCACCCTTTTCTTTCTTTCTTTGACCTCTGTGATTTTGGTTGCCTCAAACCCAATCTTTTCACTCCCTCAGGACCAGAGGTGGACCTGCACAAGCAGATTTCTCGGTGCTAGAGCTCTGTTGGCCTGTAACTACCAGCAGAAAACAGGTACACCAAGGGGGCATGGGAGCAGGGAAGGATTTTCCAGCTCAGACCTTTGCATTAGCCAGGAAAAAAACAAATGCAGAGGTGGAATAGATGGAGGTCCTCAAACTACCTTTGTGCTTCTGTCCTCCACTGAATGCCCTGAAGAGGGAGTCTGTTGTTTTCCCCAAGTTTCATGGCATGGGATCTGCCACCAGTCAGATCCAGGGACACCCCTCATCTTGCTGCTTGATGAAGTGTCCTCCATAGGGAATAACTTACGGAAGAAGTGGTGAAATCGCTTGGGAATGTAAGTTTGGATGATATCAATATTCATCTTTCAGCAAAGGAGAGGGGGTTCAGAGAGACCAAAATGCAGGAAAGGCGGATAAATCTTTCCTAGAAAACAAACCAGGTGAAAATAGAAGTGAAGGGGCTGTTGGTGGGAGCCTTCTCAATGCTCTTCCCTCTACTGGGATAACACCCAGGGCTTAGCCCTGGAAACCTCAGCCTTTTCTAAAGGTGCATTTGCTTTAATGTGATTTTTCTTGCCATTCACCATGGCCTGAGAATGTTCCGCTCCATGAAGAGCATCAGGGAGAAGCTCCTACGTGCAAGCCTGAAAGCTGACCTGCCTCATTCATCCACACAACGGTTTCGGGTACAGCTGTGTGGGAGTTGTATGTGCTAAAGCAGTTTTTGGGACTGAGCCTAAAAGGCTTTCAGAGAGCTCAGCATCTTCCATGATTGGGCCCTGGATGCTGGAGAGCAGCAGCTCCATGTGAGAGCCGTGGAATGGAAGAAGTCATGTTGGCTTCTCTTCTCACTTTATCTCTTGGGGTTTTA